TGCAATGCACAAAGTGTCGCTTGTGAACAGTGTAGTGACATTAAAATACTACCATCTGAAAATAACACAAAGAATTCGGTAGCTTAGAGCTGCATGATTATTTTTTCCTGATAAAGAAATACCATTGTTGAAAATATGTTTGAAAGGAAAGATGTTCTTTTCCTTGTTTCTGTTTTGCTGTTTGCTTCTTTGAAATAGCCCCTCTTCACGGACTCCAGTGTGCCCATCTGTCATCTCCAGCTTTTGGGATATTGCTTCCAAAGCTAGTTGTGATTTAACACGGTATCTAAATAGGGCGAGTAATGAAGTATACTGCTTAAATCCCTCTGAGGGGAATCTGCAGGACATCTGTGATCATTTGCACAATTGGGTTAGTCATAACCCTGGAAAGAGAATGTGGAATCCCTTAAGATATGAATTGTAATGTGCAGCAACTCTGTTCTCGAGTGTGTTTATAAAGAAAACTGGCACCTTGGAGTAAGCAAATGCTGTGGAAACTGGTACATTCATACTTTTAAAGAGAACCTGTAAGATTATATTTCTTCCTTTTAAGGGAGAGGCTCACTTATAAATAGAAGCTGACCAGATGCTCCCGAACTGGGATGCTTTAATGCAATTACAGATTTCATCTTGTTGAACGTCCAAAATTGATTCATGTGTTTTAAAAGCAACAACCACCCCCCTAGATGAGTACTTCTGAGTACTGCAGCAACAGACATTATTTTCATTAGAGGAGAGAAGGTTTTGTAGCACAAGGAGTCTTTTAGAGCTGACTTAAAGCATTTGCCATTGCTGTGATTTCTGCAAGTGGGGGTTTGGCATATCACTATCTGCAGCTTTTCATATATAAAGGTGTAAAAAGCAAAAAAAGTAACACTTTATGAACTTGGGGACACTTCTTTTGTGTGCACATGGTTCAAAAATAAATAGTCTGCCACAGAAGCTGGCGCCTTGACACCTCTGAGTATAGTCTGCTCTGTAAATGACATCCATATTTAGAAAGCTGGCTGACAAAATAGCATGTCTAGGAATTTCTGTGCAGTGAAGGATGGAAAAGAAGATTCTGACAGACGTTTTGTGTTTTCAGGGAGACTGAAAGTTCAGGTTTAAAACCCACAAAACCACGCGTGTTGGAATAGAGCAAATACTTTCAAGGTGAAGCTCTTTACCTGGACAAAAAGCAGCAATCATGGGGGGGAAAAAGAGGTATTTAAGAAAGAGATCAGCTCACACAACCCTGCTCCCAAAGCCAACTGCTGTGAGCAGAGCACAAACAGCAGCTTGGTACGGTGTCAGCGTGGTTTTAGTTGCATCATTGTCCAGAGGCTTTGCTTTAAACAGTTACTTGCTCCTCAAAATGCTATTTTGGTTTCTGTGTTCCTTATGAGTGGAGGCTTTGAGTCGTGCCATGTGTGTTCTGTGATTCAGATGAGGATGAGCAGTCAGCGCTGAGGAGCTTGTGCTGCTTTCCATGTGATAAGTCTGGTGATTTTTTAAAGATAGGACCATTGGCCATGTTTATAATTTCCCATCATTTAAAATGCCTATTTCATAAAATCTGGTTTTTACAAGTTAAAAGCACACAAAGTTGGGGTATGCCAGGGCTTCAAATCTGGGCTTAACCGCACCATTTGGATTGATTGTCTGTTTTCATCTGCTTTGGTTCTAATTCGAACTTCATCTTCCTCAGTTGTTAAAGATGAATTATTTTTGTTTTCTGAAGTGAGGTGAAAGAAAAGCCACTGTTCTGTGTTATGAAACCCCCTGTAATTCCTCTTGCTTTGTAATCTTCCCCTCTGCCAATGCCTCACAACTACATGATCAGCCTAACGAAGTCAATAGCATTCCTGTTGGCAGGCTGCAGTGTGGGGTAATTCATCATTGCTCTGAAAACTTCCCAGGCTCAAAAACAGCCTCCTGAAATTCAATCTCATTCCTCGTGTTCTTCCTGATTGTGAATCTGATTTCAGGGGAGGAAATGTTGTTGTTCTCTTTCACAGTGCAGAGTAACTGCCAGCCTCTGGAATGAAACAGTGCAGGGAACAACTAAGGTATTCCCTGAGTCTCTGAACTCAGGGAATATTGCTCCATTCAGGAGTTTCGGAATGGGAAATGAGTGCTTTCCTTTCAAATTCAACTGCTTCAACTAACAAAAACGCTCTGGAGTACCTTTAGATGTTAGATGTTGAGCTTTCCTAAGGTATGGGATTTTCAAGGCCAGGTTGGGCACAGGGGCTTGGAGCAACCTACTCCAGTGGAAGGTGTCCCTGCCCATGGCAGGGGTTGGAACTGGAGGAGCTTTAAGGTCCCATCAACCCAATCCAGGCTGGGATTCTATGGTTTTTGAGAGATGAGGTGATACAATGCTGCAAAACATAGCAAATACTTTGACTGCCTTCATTGTGTGTCAGTGTGTGAATGTTCCTAAAAAGCTCTTGTTTAATCCTCTGCAATTCCATTTCTTTTTTTAACACACATTGGAGAACTCGATGCCACTGCCAGGAGATGTGGCAGTAAGCAAAACCTTCTCTTTGCATTGACTGAATGACAAACTGGGAGGGTCTTTTGGGAGGAAGGGAGGGATTGAGGTGGTCTCTTACGGAGGAAGTGGAAAAACCTCGCTTCCAGACACTTATTTCTTCTATCCAAGTCTATTAACACTTCGTAAGTGTTGACCTCGGCCTCATCCCTGTGCTACTCTGTGCTACAGGAAGAAACTGAGGCAGGGAAGGGAAGTGAAGTGATGGTGTCAACAACTCCTTTACACTTCTGGCTTAATTCAGAATAGAGCTGTGACCTCCCAACACGCAGCTCCATGTGATGCCAAGGCAATGAAAACATTGGGCAGTTTTGATCCCTCCCTTTTTACTGTAATCTAATCTCAACGTATGTAGGCATAGAGAGGACGCACCTTCAGAACATGAGCACTAACAGAGCTTTCTGCAGAACTGTCCCCTCATAGGAAATGGCTCTAAGGTTCCATGGGAGAGTGTATCCTTCATCCATCATCTCCCTTTGTCCTCTCCATGACTTCTTTGTACCAAGATACCCAGTAAGGTGTTTCCTTCTCTCCGATCTCTCCTCTGGGTATTGGTGGTTCAGTCTGTTGATGGTTTGGTTTGTGGATAACCATTTGTAGCACCATTCCTTGCAGAGCACAGTGTACATTTCTAGTCCTTCTCCCCAACGTCATTTGCTATTCCGAACTACCACCAGCACCAAATTAGGTACTGTATTTTGTGGCGGTCCTTCATGGTTACATGTACTTACACTTCAAACAGATGTATTTCCACCTCCTTAATAGTGCTCCTTGGAGTGTGGATCCATGTGAAAGAGACTCAACTTCAGTGGCACAACCCAAGAAAATCCAGGCATTAGCTTTTGGTGCTGCTTGTAAACTTTCTATACATGTAAGTGAGTAGTTTTTGTGCCACAAGTGGTGCTTTCTGAGTGTGCTGTAAAGGTTTAGTGTAACAAAAGACAGGGGTTTTCTCCTCTCGGCTAAGAAATGCAAAGAGAATTCCCAGAGAAACACTGGGTTATTGTTTCCCATCCTTGTTGCGTGCAGTTCTTGTAGCACTAATAGAGCTTATGAACAAATAGCAAGAGGGCAACAGAACATTTGTATTGTTTTAGTCTTCAGAACTCAGACTATTCATGAAGACTGTGCTGCACAGAGCTTTGTATCAGGAGAACAGCCAAGTCTCAACCATGGGGTATGAACAGCAGGTAGCAGGAGTCGGCGTCGCCTCTCAGACTCTGTCCTTTTGATTTTGTTCCATGCATTAGACAAGCTCGTTGTCTTTGCCTGCAGATGTGTTATGTAAAAAGACAAACAAGAGGAGGTTCAGGTTTCTCCTCGTACAGCACAGATATGCTTAGGATGTTCCTGAATGCTTTTTGAGGCTCTCGGTGCACAGAGCACATGTGGCCATTCAGTTACCGAAGCTTTTTCTGGCACAATGCTGCCGCTAGCAGTTGTTTGCTGGTATTACATGTGGCTTTAATCAAAGGCTTCAAGAGGTGCGTGTAATGGAAAGACTCGGATGTTGTTTATTAAGCAGAAAGGGTGGAAATTGCTCTAATGAACAGGAGGGAGGAGAAGAATATTCTGGTCCAGTGACCTGCAGTTTAAGTTCTAAATGTGTTTTAAGAGCAGCCTTCGAAGGGTCTAGAGAACTGTAGTCCAGAAAAAACAGTTGCCTCATGCCAAAAGAATGTTAATTTCCCATTAGGCCCTTCCTCTGTTTCTTCAAGTGTTGTGGAGCAGTGGAAAGAATTGACTACCAAGGGTTTCAAAGATAAACTGAAGCACAGAGTCTGTAATAACTCGATCTGTAAATGCTATTTTTAAGTGATGTTTATGCTTAAGTTTCCTTCTAAGAAGGAACAAAGTGGTGGCTGAATCCTCAAATGAAAAAGGAGCACTTGAGGAAGACAGTTTGTGTACATCTTTATTGGTTTTGTGAGGTACATGAGCAGTCAGAGCCTATATTGGGATTGAAGTGCAGCACCCTGTTCTGTCCTGTAAAGGAGGGTAAATAAAGAACATATACTATTATGCTGGGCTAAAAATATCTGGTATTTCTTGGTTACAGCTGTTAGGAGTGGTTGCGTTGAATTATGTGGCTGGTGGTGTCCTTTTTTCCATGTTTGGCCATAAATACTCGTTGTTTGTAGAAATGAGCAGGCTACGATCATGCTGCATGAGGCCAAAATTGCCAATCCTTTTCTGATCCCTGCCTGCTCTTGGGTTACTATTTTGTGAGTGAATAGATGAGTATTTGCTGGTCAGGTATATAGAGAGCTACAACTGCATGCTGATGCAGTAGGTTCTTGTTGCCTTTGTCTAGTTTGAAAGTCAATTTGTCATAGCACGTATCCCTTGTTTCATTGTCATGGAAATACGTTTTCCTCCCTTTTGGGTCTTACCTTCAGTGTGAAAACACATTTTATACTTTAGAAGATTGTGTCAGATGTGGTCTGATTTTCCTTTTTAGTAATGCCTTTAGACCTTCTTTTTCAGAGTAAACGGGACCACCTCCTTATGAATGTCAAATGGTACTATCGCCAGTCTGAAGTCCCAGATTCAGTCTATCAGCATTTGGTTCAGGACAGACACAATGAGAATGGTAAGTTAGGCTCTGTAGAGTGAGGCCTTCTTTACTTGTACTCTGAATTTGAAGTTTTAACGGTGCAGAAAGCAAGAACACTTTCACTTGCTTTATGCCAGGACTGGTGATGAATGCAATGTATTAGATTGGATGAGGGTGTTTCTTACCTGCTTTGTTTGTTCTAACTCGTGTATGTCCTGTAGCCATGGCTATAATCAGATGCACATCAGGTATGGTTTAAATTCTGTGCTGTATTATACTAATCCCTTAAGGGGGCAGAGAAGAAAAATAACACTGGATCCTTTGTAGGCCTTCTGGACAGTGCACTAACACTGAACTAGCTGAAGACCAAGTTGTCTGAAGAAATTGTCAATCTCTTCTGTTTTTTGATTCTTCCGTAGTGTCATGAGAGCCCCAGTCTTTTACATTGCACCTATGAACACTCACTGTGATTAATTCTGCAGTAAGTGACCTAACTGCAGCACTCATAGCTGAGTTTTCCCCCTTTTCTCTGCAGAAACAAGTGTGATCTTGGGTTTAATAGAAGCAGAAGAAACTTCAGTACATATTCCAATGTCATTTATCTCTTGCCTCTAGGGGAGACATAACATTTGCTTCTATTCTTACTAGGAAATTTCCTTGAGGCAACTGTTAAAATGCTGAAGACACTCCAAGGTGAATTGTGATGATAGAAGTTGATGATTAAAATGTGGAACACGGCAACTTTTTGGTGCATGACAGCACAAAGTTGAGCTTCTAGTCTCCTTTTTGCAGGCATTAAGGACATTTGGCGTGGGCTTTAAGCAAAAGCTGCACCAATCTAACATTTCTCTTGCTATATTTGAAACTTCTAACCATGGGATTATAGGCACAATGTCCAAAAGTGAGCAGTTTTGACTTTTCTATGTCACACTCCTCTCTGTGTGGATAAGGATTTTTGTGTTTTCTTCAAAGGCATTATAAAGAAGCCATGGAAAAATCCTCATTAACGCTGAGGATTTTCTGTATTTGACTCTGAATCTCAATGTTTATGTCAAAGCCAGAGCACTAAGCAGTTAATACTGCCCAGATTTGGCTGAAGATTTGAGGTCAAATATGCAAAACCACCGAAGTCTTAACCCAGAAGTCAGTGATAAATTAAGTTGCTTAGTTCCTCTCACCCAGAAGTGACCACTTATAGGGGTCAGTATGTGTTATCTGGTACCCCTGGAAGCTCTTCAGCAGTTCTTTACCTATGGCAGGGGAGAAACCATGTGGAAAAATGGATATCACATTATTTCCATACCTTACAGGTGATGGAAACAGTCTGAGTGTGTCATCTTAACACTGAGGAGTGTCTATCTAAGAAACATCCTCAAGCTTTGACCTGTAAATAACCTACCTGTAAAATGTCAGTGGTAGATGCTTTCAGACTCCAGCTAACGTGTTGGTGGGTTTCTGTTTGTGTGTTTGCTTCCTGGCAGACTCTGGACGAGAGCTTGTTATTACAGACCCGGTTATCAAGAATCGAGAGCTCTTCATTTCAGATTACGTTGACACCTACCACGCTGCTGCCCTCAGGTAAGCTGCCGAGGATGTGGTGCAGTGTCTGAGGTGGGTGAGAACACACAGATGGAGGGAGCAGTGCTTTTTCTGTTAGCATGGGGCTCATTAACACACTGCTCAGCTTTCTCCTCTCTCCTCAGTAATTAACTTGTGTTATCTGTTCCCATTCAAAAAGCAGCCGTAATTCTCCAATCTCGTTTTCATCTCAGTTAATCAATGTTGCTCACAAGATATCGTTTCCCATCAATGCCAATTGAGGTTATTGCTGGTTCCTGCAGAAATACTACCCGGCCCTCCTCCGTGTTTGATTTCCCTATTAACAATAGCACCTCCTAGTAAAGTGACTGTTAGGATGCTGCCCTGATTAAATTGCATTAAAGGCTTTTTCTCTGAGGCACTTGTCATTGTTGCAGCTCAGCTAAGAGCTCCATTAAAAATGGGCTGTGCAGACAGGAGGTAATGGACCCCAGTATTGTTCCCTGCACTATGCACCCTTCCCGGGAGGTTGCTGCTCTCTCGCCTCCCCAAGTTTTGAACTGAAGTGCCTAACCTTTGCCTAGGCTGAGGGGGGGATACACCATTCCTTCCAAATGTTTTCAAATAGAAACAGGGAGGCATTATTTCTCAGCACATTTTCCACATGCCAAACATGCATGGATATTGTCAGACTGCAAATTGAATAATCTCCCTGATAATAATGCTCAGATGGTGTTTCACCAGAACCATCTGGAGCCATTTTTTTGTTCAGAGTCCCTTTGCTGAAGCCACTTACTGCAAGACAAACTGGCTGCAACTTCTGTTCTGTGGGAGGAAGTCTTTGATTTACATATTAAGCCTTCTTTTATAAACTCCGAGAATTCCAGTGGTGTGCTGCAACTCCTGAAATTCCACAGGGCTTTCTCTGAGCTACAGGAGGTCGTCTTCCAATGTGAAATCTGCATGCTCAGAAACAAGCCAGCAGGAGGTTGGCTGCCTTGATGGGACCGGGCTTGGAAATCTAACAGTCTGCTTGAACAGAAAGACACTCGGTCTTCCCTGGGAGTATTTTAACCTCTTTTCCACATTCCTTCTGTGGTTTTATCTTTAAAGAAAAGATAAGAATGGAAAAATAAGAATGGAATATATACATATACCAAGCAAACTTGAAAAATAACCTTCTTTTCTCCCCTTCCAAAGAGAGTGAAGGCTGCTGGAAGACCAAACTGGTCAGTTCCTCAACTTGTCTTGTGTTTTATCTGTCATCTTGCAGTTTGGAAGTGCACAGCACAGGCAGCTTTCAGATAGCTCTTTTGTTTCTCTTTGGCATATGGTTTCACTGTTGCTTTCTTGTGTTCTGGATTCTTCATACTTGTGATATTTCTTACCAGCTTGGAGGTGGTATCTAAAGATGCTGGTAATTGAGAGGATACACTTTTGCAGGATAAAGACTATATTTTTGCTGATTCTTCCCTAGCAAATTGCCATTAATCCATGTCAGTGATTTTCAGTGTACAAGATGAACATCAGGGTAATTGCACGTGGTGTTCTTACAGCTTGAGAACACAAAGTAGGCAGAATATATTGTGATGCATGAAAGGAGGCTTAACATGAAGTTCTAATTTATTATAATACGAGATTATTTCCCTGTCCTCTGCAAACAAATGGCTCTGGTCACACAATGAATTGATGATAAACTGGGAAATAAAACCAGTCATTGTAACTACCAATTTTCTGCTCTAACCAGTGGAAAAATTTAACTAGAGGATACTTGTAGATCCCAGGGGAAGTGTGTAATGAAAGTTGTGTCCTTTTTACCTGTATGGTAAAGCTGTGTGGTAATATGTAGCACTACTTGTCTGAAATGCTGTGAACAAGATGTACTGCTTTCGTGAGCATAGATAATACAAGCTTATTTGGAAACCCCTTATTAACTGTCAGAGGAATTGTAGAAAGGACACTAAATATTTTCCCCAAAAATACTTTTAAAATGGGAATTTAATGTGAGATATCAAAACAAATACCCCTTCTCATTTGCTTTCTTTCTAAATGACTCGAGTAGGAAAGTAGCTCGAGCCACCAGGGATGAAAGAAATTCATCAGTATTTGTGATGCCTGGGCTACAGACCTTGCTAATGTTCCATTCCAACCTGGCGTGACCTGTTCAACACCCAGGGTTGCTTTGTCCTTTGCCAGAAAGTGATTGCCTGAGAATGAGGCAATCACAGGGACAGTTGTGCTGCCTCAGCTCACAGCATAGCCACATTGATTTTGTCTTGTAACAGTCAGCAACTTCATTCATCCATCATCCTTCTGGCGTGGTTTTTTCCTCACCTGTAGCAGTTGATGTTGTGTATCAGAAAGCTGGTGTTGCAAGACAAGGTTCTCTTGATTGGGAAGTGTTTTACCATGAGAAGATGAGGAAGAAAAAGCAGGCTTTTCAGCTTGCCACTGCTGTTCTTCAAGTTTGCAGTGCTTTTATGCTCTGTTGAGAAGGCTGGGCAAACAGGTCCACTATTATTACAGGCAAAATCGTTGTTCATCTTGGGGGATTGGTGGCAATAGCACTTTTCATTCCATTTTAACCAAGACTGGCAAACCTTTTTAGAATGTTAAATAAGCCCCATAGCAGCTTATTTGTAAGAGCAAAGACTGTTGAGTAAAAAGAAGTGAAAAGAGATGTGATCTGCGTTAATAGCGGAAAGCTTGACATCCTGAAAAAGAGCAAGTCTTGTGCTTTGTTGATTGCATTGCATCAGGTTGAGATAAAAAGCACTAATTCTTTGCCTGTCTGGCCTGTTTGTCTGTGCCCGCTTCTGATCTGATTTACTTGGCAGCAGCAAACTGCAGTGCACTGAATGACAAAACCCCAGCAGCTGTTGAACATTAACAGACCAAGAAACCCTTGAGGAAATGGGATGCAACTTCTTACAGCTCGTCTTAATGCTCCTCCTTAAGGATAATGACTTCATCAACAAACCATGTTAAAAATTATTAACAATCTGGTTTAGAACAAGCCAATAAATTCTCTTTTCCCTCCCCCCCCCCTTTTTTATGTCTCTGTTTTATGTATGAAAGTAGAAGGAAGGAACTTCTGTGTGCTTGGAATGTGCATTTGTTAGGATTGCTAAAACCAGCATAGTTTGCCTTTGATTTGGAGGTGCCATTAAACTGCAGCTTTATTTAGCTTTCTAAATAAAAAGCTGACTTCCTAAATAATACAAATAGAATTTTCAAAGCTTCCTTAGCACATAAATGTAATAGGACTGTAAAAAACTTTGAAAAGACCACATATTTAGGACTGTATTTCTGAGGTCTGCTGAAATTTGGCCTCCTCAGGACTGGTGCTGGTTGAATGAGAATGAATGAATGTTTGTAGAACACCATCCGAGACATTGTAGCTGCGTTTTCTTCCCTTTCCAGCATGGGAAGAATCTGCATGGTTATTTGTTACAACAGGCTTGTATTTATGGCCTTCCAGACATTTATGAGAACACAAGGATGTCTGTGGGCTTATACACAGATTGCAGTGGCACTTAATTAAAATAGTTGCTTTTCAGAACTGAATTCTAACACCATTTTCCCTCTTTCTTTCAGAGGGAAGTGTAACATCTCCCATTTCTCTGACATATTTGCTGCTAGAGAGTTTAAAGCCCGAGTGGATTCATTTTTCTACATCCTGGGCTATAATCCAGAGACAAGGTAAGTGAAGTGGCTTTTAAAGGCAAGTTTTACCACTGAGCTGAGGCTGCAGGAGCAGGAAAACTACTCAAGTAAAGTTAAAATCAAGTATGATGCTGACAGGTGGGGTGGAAGAAACGTGAGGGAGAAGCTGCATCTTGCTGTGAGGTGTATGTGTAGGAGTAAGTAACAAAACTGTGCTGTGGGTCATGACATCTGATTGCATCTCTGGGTCAGTAACATACTGCTTCAAACAAGGGGTTTAAGCACTGAATTTAAAGCTTGCAGTCATTAGCAGGAATTCTTCGCTGTGTCACTGGCTAAATGCACACCCCTGGAAATACTTCCTAAATTCACATGTTCTAGTAAGCAATGTTGAAACTTGCACACTTAAGAAATCAGATTGATAGTTTTAAAGTGTGGAAATTCATGTTCTCGTGTAAATACTCACATAAGGTCCCATGTCAACAGTTCCTAGTTTATGCTTTGCTGGTCTAGAGCAAATTAGAGGTACAGAAAGGTGGTTTTGGGAATTAATACATATCTGAAGAGGGTGTGT